GCCTTCAAGGTGACATATACGTCGTAAATACGCCTGGTCTCGGGGAATTTCGAGAACTCAAGGACTCGTGCCTCGCCAAATTCAAGTGGTGAATGCATCGAATTACCTCTCCGCATAGGTGTATGCTTGCTTTAATGTACGAATTAGCTGCGAATGTTACTTTAATAAACTTGGATGAGGAAAAATATTTATTTTGCTTCAAGACAAATAAAATAAAGTTATGTTCGCCTCAAAGCATACATCAGCGCACATGAGCCTTTCGGTACTGGCGCAGTGACGATGCGCTGGATGGTAAGACGGTACAGGGCCAAGCTCTGCCCGAGTCGGACACGTTATATGGTGTGTCCATTCTCCCAAGACAGGTGGTTTCACAAGTGGGGTAAATAAAAACAGCGTAGTCCTGCTGACACACAACCAGTAACAGCATTCTTTCGTTTTGTACAGGAGGAAGAAAATCGGCCTAGTATCTGCATGTTTCGCTGCAAATGTCGTTGAAAGACGATAATCTTGCGTCTGGAGAGAGGGGAAAAAACGTTTATTTGATGTTCTGCGCTAGAAAATTGGTGAAGTGTATTCTGGAGGCGCTGCGTTAGGGAATCTCGATCCGTGTAGCCAAGGCAAAAGAGCGCATCGAGGCACGTTAGACACGATCACTATCTGGCAGTTATATTAAAAAACGAAGGAAGGCATGCGCACGCGTTTTGTGGGCGATAAGTTGTAGAACGCAAGGCGGCGAGTAGGTGCCACCGCCATGGCGTCTTAGAAACGCGTTGGAAACACTTGGTTTTTGAGCGTCGCGTTGCATTGTCAGCGCAGCGTGATAAACGCTATGGTCCTTATAGTTACTTATGTATGCCTTCTCTAGTATAAAGCCACACTACAAAATATTGACATGTTGTTATGGTGCCTCGGATTTGCGCAATAATTGCTTTTTATCTGATAATCGCAAAAATATGAACGCTCAAACTGTAGCAATATTCGTGGGTGGTGCGGATGGGGTAGGCCGGTATCGTTTGGTGCCGTTTGGAGTATCGTTATGGCAGACAAACAGACAAATGTACAGACAGACCAAACAATTTGCGTCGAATTACCCCAAGAAAGACTATCTTCTTTAAAAAAATCCCGACATTGTGTCCTTCATAAACACCCTCATAACAGAAAACCCCAAGACTTCCACAACACTGGTTGTGAATGCAAACCAAGGTTAATAAATGTCCCATAAAATATGTTTTAGCTATTCTGCAATATCTTTATGCATAGCGACTTATACGTGCACGACATCCGATGCACGAATTTTAACCAGAAGATGCTGCAGTGACACTTGTTCACAGGCGAAGCGAACTTGCCTTGGTTTGTATTTAAAGGCAATAAAGAAAGTGTATCTGGCAGGTTTGTATTTATGTGCGTAATGCTTTTATGGAGTATTCTTTAAGCCCACTACATTCGCGAGTAACTAATACAGTCTAAATACCTATACGCCACTTTTACGCAGCCTACCAAGCTAACAATGTGGTTTAAAACCCTCTAAAGCAGATATCTTGAACTACAATATTTCGTTAATTGTTACATTTACCATTCATGAGCATGTGGCACTGTTAACACAGACAACGACCCTGCGTGCCATAAAACGAAACGTGTCAGCATGTATAAACAAATAATCGTCGGTGCTTTCATGGTAGAAAAATATAGCTTCTCATGTATGTAGGTCTATGTTAGACACTTAAATCAGTAGGGAGAAGATGGCTCATTATTTTCTAAGTGTAAAACATTTCCTTCATGAGAAATTATGAGAGAGCGTCCGTGCCAAGTGATGCCATGCTTCTCGTAAAATATTTTATAAATGTGAAGGACAGGGCCAGGTGCTTTCCTTTTCGGAGTGCACCAACGATCACAGAAATTGCCATACAAAACAATATGTCAAGAAAGCGGGGCCTGCCCAGCTCGATGCGTCTGGGCGGACAGCACCCAAAACTTCTACATTTTTTTTTAATGTGGCATGCACAGGAAGCATTATTGTCGTATAGCTGGTAGTACTGAATCATGACCAGTTCGAGCTCAACTCTGCGCTTGTCACCACTGACATGTTTCTGTACCAACAGATAGTTTCTGCTTCAGCTGTAATTAATTTTAACTGCCATGGTAATATCATCGTGTGTGACCTTAGGTTAACTCATAGATTGAGAGTCAACGTAACCAGAAGTTTCACTAACAATTAAAACTTGCGAGCAGAAACGTAGAACATGCATTACCCCCCCCCCCCCCCCCCCAAAAAAAAAAAAGAAAGAGGGCATGTAGTGGTCGCCATGCTACTCTGTAGGCTGGCATTTGCGTTGAAACCCTTTGGCAGCAGCTATGAATAGAAGAAATCGCTAACGGTCACATCCGGTATCTGTACACTTCAAGATGAGGGCACAAGTACGTGACGTGGAGGCACGTGTGTGACCGTACCTGTCTGTTCTTTCCCGCTCGACGAAGTTCCAGTTATCGACGCTGGATGCTTGTGTACGGGTGAGAGGGTAAACAATGCGCTACGTATTTCCTTATATGCAATTGCCGCACGAGATAATTTGTTTTGCAACGTCATGCACTATTTCATGCGAAGTGGCATTCCCAGGGTCATCACGAACGTCAGAAAAAAAAATTGAGTGACTACAAAGGCCTTGGAGAGAAAACAAGAGCTCGCCCCCTGAATAATTGATGCCACGAACCCGCATTCATGTTACGCTCCTGCGTCCGTACTTAGCATAAAAGCCGCTCAAGCGCTCGCTCACTTATCTGGGAAACTCCCGAGTTAAACGCGCAAATTTGCGCCAGCCGAGACACCAATATCAGACACAAACGCGTAGGATTTCCCCTTTAGAGTACACCTGAAGAAAAATCTATATGGCGATGAAAATTTCGATCACGAGGACTGCATAGCTCGTAAAGTACATAAAAATTAACATATTGTTCACAAGGCTTCTACAGCTGCTTCCAGCTTGAAATACATGCTGCGTTCACAAGGCCCGTTTTATAACGCCCCTTTTAGATTCTCGCCTGTTAGTCTGACGAGTACAACACACTATAAGCTTACTGTTCGTATAGTATTAACGTCATCTGCATACCATTCGAGGCGCAGCGTCAGGAAGCGTTCTGATTTTTTTTCGCATATAATATAGATGGTAGCAATGCAAAGGGAGATGGAAGCAACGCAAAGTATTTGAATTACGCAGAAAGCCATAAGTGACTCTCTGAATATGTTAACATCAATTAAATGAAAAAAAAAGTTTAAAGAGCCAAATAGACACGTTCGTTTGAATATCATGGATACATGTTTTGTGACAGAATTTGCCGTATTGGATTATTGTCGCACCTTATTGAGTAAAGAGAGTGCATGCATATTGCTTATTGCTTTGTCCTAGTGCTTTTGTTGACTAAGTTGCAAGCGTTATTAACACTCTCAAAAAGATAGCTTCACAGAAATCGAAGAGGCACTATGATATTACTTAGAAAATGAATCCCAAAATGTGATATAATCATGAAATGTTCTAGCACGCTGACCAGAAACGCTATTCGAGCATGTATACAGGCTTTAAAATACGAGGTACGCTTAATTATATGTTTCTTGTAGTTTTGCGGTTACATGACATTTGTGAATGCGTACATGATTGTTACTCTTACTGTTCCATAATAAAGAATAATCTTATTTACAAGAACCAAACGTCGGTTGTGTTTTACTTATGTCAAAGTCTTTGTTCCGCGTACTCGCCTCTTACGTGAACATTTTCTTGAAGCGTTGACATTTTGAGGATTCGAATATTTGTTCCCGAGTTTACTTGGCAATTTTTGTGTTTGTTGTTAACTTGTGACGAAAACTATCGCGAATTGATGAGAGGTACCCGGCTCCACGCACAGACACCAAACTATCTTTAAATTCACCAATACTAAACAAAATTGTTTTAGCATCTTACATGCAACAATAATCGATATGTTTTGCTTATGCCTACTATTCTCAAAAACTTTGCGCTTGCTACATTTACATGAAGAATATTATGTTACACTGACAGCATGCGCGCCGTTATTGGTCTGTAATTGCCGGGGGCGCCGTGATGACGTAAAGATCGGAACAATAAATAGCTGAAATTTATTGTTGCACGACAGAAGCACGCCTCAAATATGCCCTTTTCTGAGAGTGAAAAAAGAAGTGTAAATTAGAGTGCGTCTTTTTTCTTTGTTCGACACAATATAATGAGAACTCACAGACAGTGATGCCGAGAGGCGTATAGGCGATGTTAGTAAAAGTAATTGTAATGTTTTTGTGAAGAAAAGCAGTATACGAAAGAGTATATTTTAAATGTTACAGGAAGACTGTTTGGACAGTACAGCATTGACATCAAATACAAACTTCTTTTATTGTTATAGACGGCGTCTCTGCACATTGCCACAGAAAAATTGGCACCGAAATTATTGCGCATTCCACAAACAACAGTATTATCTTTTGTCTAATATGTTGCACTTTTGTTTACTACATGCAATATTCGGCCGTTACCTGTTCTGGACAGTGGTAACTACAATACGGCCTCGCATCCATATGATCCCAGCCAAGCCTCAACGACAACAGTGATAATGTATCTTCACGGATAAACAATTACTAATTTATTTTACCTTGTTAGTGCCGTTACAACAAATCTTCTCAGTTTGGTCAATCTTGAAAGCAACATCGATTTCAATTGATACAGTAAAACAAGAGGGCGGATGACCCTTTCACGTACGTATTAGTAATACAGATATAGTCGAGATTAACTGTGAGATGCGCTTAACATTAGCATAGCCACACAAGTAAATCACCGTGTCATTATAATGAAACGTCATGAAAGTCATACACGAAGCTGACTTTCATGATGCTGTGAAATGGCACTACCAATGTTCTCTTTCTATTTCATCGTATAATATTTTTCACCATCAAGTTTTCATTACGATTCCATACCAGCTTACAAAACAACCACTCATCATTTTCACAGTGATTCTCTCGAATGCCATGCTGTCCAGCAACCCACTGGAGGGCACGTACGTGGCCATGGGAGGTTACGACCAGTGCTTGCGCACGCGCGTTTATCTGGCCGACGGTGAGCTGGATTTCAAGGGCCAGTACTGTTCGCTGTTCTACAAGCTGCCACCAGCATACTTCGAGACATTTATCAAACGCTTCCATGAGATTGGAGAGTTGACTGTAAGTGACGTTCCTTTAATTTCAAGCACGGGACTATTTAAAGCAGCCAAAGTTGAACATGTACGACGTAATATGCAATTACCTGACTTGTATGTATAAAAGCTATTTCTTTGCACGAGAAGTTGGTCTGAGATATATTCAGCGTTGTTATGCATTTTTGTGCACCTAAATACGAGCAAACGCACATATAAATTATTTGCAACCAATGCTTCTTCTTGTGTGCCCCTTCTCCACCTATTGGTTTTCATGGTTTCTGTGATTTTTTTTTCCAAGCCGACTGACACGCTTAGAGCTGCAACCGCAATAATATTACATCTGCTTCTGCCTGGTGATAAGTGGACAGGCCAGAGCTGTATCACATGTTTTGTTGCCTGCCATCAGTCATGTTTTATGAGTGAGCTAGTGTTTGACAGTTTATACCTTTTCTTGGTAGGATGAGGGAGGGGGGGGCTGTATTTATGAGGTAAAGCCATAATATTGCCAAAACATTCAGCATATATACAGCTACTTGCTCACTGCTTCGCATGAAACAGATTTTCACAATACGTTCGCTCTGCTTAATTTTATCGCCAGTACCACGTGCAACTACAACGATCTTTTTTTATCCTAATTTTAGCAGCGCACTGGCGGATGAGGACTAAGAAGAAAGAATGTGCACAACACAGGCGCCCGTGTAGTGCCACGGCAGGTCTAACTGCATCTGCGCGCTCCCTTCTTACGGCCTTCGCATCGGGTGTAGTACATGCCTCTCACCACTCCTTTGAAGAGGCGTTGCGACCCTGCCATGTTCCGCCGCTCCGTACAACACGCGAACACATGATTTCGGGCGCGCTTCTCCACTCACCACGCGTTGAAAAGCAAGTTGCCTAATCATTTAGGACGCACAAATTATTTATGGCATTGCGCATACCTGATGATGCTCGGCTTGAACCTATACACATCTGAAGTGTGCACTTTGCAGGCAGTGTCACAAGCCCTGAAGTGCGCGCATGATCGTAGCTTCTTTGCGATAGAAAATGGCATACCACACCCCTTGCAATATCGTATGGGTACGTTGAGCGCTTTCTTACGTCACATTCTATTTGATGCAAAAAAAAAAAACGCCCCTTTTCTCCCCTTTCTGTGCATCTGCTGCGATTTTCTTAACGCATGCTTGGTCCTTGCTTCCGTGATAATATCGGGACGCATTTTTTTCTTCTTTCAGCAATCACTGCAATTTCTCGCATTTGGAACGATGGTAGGACACTTGGGAGTGCAGTCGTCCCATCATATTCTGGTATCGGCCCACCCGATGAGCGTTGCTGTTCATTTTTTCGTGCAAACTCTCGCTGCTTCTTGTTCAGTGAAAGCGTCTTGTGAAGTTGCAACATTTTGATCTGTTTCGTTGGTCTCCGCTTTTCGCTTCCTTGATGCTTGACCTAGGGGTGAAACTCGTAAATCAGGATCTTTGCGAGGCTTTTATGCACCTTAAATTGTGTAGGAAATATAGTTCTCGAAAAGAGTAGGCACGCGCGCAGTCAGGAATAAGTTTTCTGTTGAGGAACGCAGGCACATAGTCTTCACCGCGCAAATGTCTGCTGCATACGATTGTCAATTCAGACTGGTCCTTGATGATGAGGTTTCTCTCACAATATCCTTTGGCACTTGCCGCACAGCTCAGTATTGTTTGAGAATTGGTGATAAGGGACACCGGGTGTTTTGCCCGAACGGGACTTGCGATACGGAACCACAGTGATCGAGCGGCCGAGACGGAACCCAGCAATACACCTTCACGCTGCTAATATAAATTCATGTGCATAATGCGCGCACTGAAGGTTGCGCGAATGCCTTCTCGACTCAAAAAATTACTGTAGACTGAACACTGACAAAGCACCGAATGAAATGCAGCCGGGGGGGGGGGGGGGGAAACCCCAAAATAAAGCAAGCTACACTAGAGATAAAAGGCAATTCACAACAACCTGCTTGTAGCAATAGGCAACAAGAGAATTTAGACAGATTTTTCAGAAATACAGCTGCTTACGGGACCAAAACTTGTAATGTTGTTAATTTCTATTTTTAAATATGTTCTACGAACTAGAAAGATAGCACAGCACTCATTTGCACTGCAGTTTTAGCTCCGGGGCAAGCGGCTTGCGAGCGTAAGCAGCTGCGTACTTTGTTCGCGTTCTTAATGGACGTGGCGTGCAGAACAAAGGAATGCAAAATGCTTGGGGTCTCCGGAATCAATATTTCCAGGTGGTGCTAACACCTTGACAATGCACACAACCACTCTCTGTGCGTGCCGTTCGAAGACGTTATGCAGCAGCAAAGGCCCTCTCTCTCCTTTTTAAAAAAAAAAAAACTTTCTCCTTAACGCAGTTTTTAGCCAATTGATATACAACACACGTACATGTTTAAAAGAGTAGTCAGACTGCAGACAGCAGCTATTACCCCTGAAAACACTTCATGTGTATTTGGAAAAATGAAGAAAAATAGAAAATAGCTGTAAAAGGGTAGGCACGCACGTCAATCGTTGAGCGACCTCCCTTAATTAATTGCGACGTCGTTGTCCGACGAGACCAAAGGCCAAAGGTGTTTAGTGTTCTCTGATTGCAAACAGGTGCAGTATTGTTCTTCCATCTCTCTGATCATTGCCAGTGCTTTATGTCTTCTGAATTATGCCTCTCATTAGCCGATTCTTCGGGATTTTCACCCAGTTTCAGCTTGTATTATCTATGAGCACATACATACCTACATTAAGCGGCAAGCCATCTGGTAAATTAGTTTTCTTTTAGTAGACGATCCTCCATCTATACTCGATTTTTTTTTTTAATAATTCCTCTCCCTCTTCGTCGAGAACCTTTATTGCACGGTTCCACATAGACGAATTTTCTTGTGCCGTGTGCGCGGCGCAGAAAATGCAATGTCAGGGTCGCTGCGCTCCTACAGCCGACGGGTGGCGAAACATACTCAGAAACTCTCCCGTTGTATTCGGGGCGGATGAGAAGGCCGCAAGGAAAGAAGCACACGCAGGTGCGGTCTAGCCCGGCCGTGGTTGTGAACATACTTTCTTTTTAGTCCTCGTCCACCAGTGTGCTGCTAAAATGAAGACAAATACGTACCAACTTGCTCAAGTTTTAATTCCCATGCGATTTACCTTCCTTTCTACCTCCTTTCCTCTGTCCCGTTCCTTTTCTTAAGTGATATATTTGCGCATGCACAATAAGATCTTCTTTTTTGGTAATCAGGACCCGTCTTCGAGTGATGTTTCCCTCATCGTGTGTAAATTAGCTCTTGTTGTTTTTTAGATAAAAGGCACGATAATACGGGGCATGACGGAGGGGTGCCCTGCAGCATCAGCTTAAACAGCTTGGAATATTTAAGACGCACCTAAACGTAATAATAATAATAATAATAATAATAATAATAATAATAATAATAATAATAATAATAATAATAATAATAATAATAATAATAATAATAATAATAATAATAATAATAATAATAATAATAATCATAATAATAATAATAATAATAATAATAATAATAATAATAATAATAAATTGCATTATTATTATTATTATTATTATTATTATTATTGTTATTATTATTATTATTATTATTATTATTATTATTATTATTATTATTATTATTATTATTATTATTATTATTATTATTATTATTATTATTATTATTATTATTATTATTGGTTGGCATTTTTCGACGCAAAACCTCAATATGACGATGAGGAACCCCGCTCAGGTCCTTCCTATTTGGTCACACCAATCTTTCACCTTGCCTTTTTTTTTGCAGTGGAGGGCTCCGGAAATTTTGACCACCTAGTGTTCTTAACGTGCAGTTGAATCTAGATGCACTAACCTCGAGCATTTAACCTCCATCGAAAATGCGGCCGCTGTGGCCGGGATCTTATCGCACGACTTTCGGCTCAGCAGTCGAGCAACTAACCACTAGACCACCGTCGAAAGTTGCATCTGATACTAAGTAAACGTGCGTTCTTTCATTTCGGCCCCATTGGGAGGCCACCACTGAGGTCTGGGACCGCGTCTTCGAGCTTAGCAGCGCGACACTTCGCTTGTGAAACTAATGCGGCGGGTAACAACTATGAAGTCACAACAATAATACGAGTAATGTTACAGTACAGCATTTAATATTTTTCTGAAAGAAGTATTCCATATGCCATGAACCTTGCTAAATGCATGTACACAGATATTTATGTCTCGTTTGAACGGCCATACTTGTGTGCGCGTAAAAGAAGTTCTCAGATTACTTGACACAGAAAGCTTGATTTTTTATGATTATTTCAAAACAGGGTTTAAAATTTCAGTGCAGCTATTGGCTGTATTGTTCCCAACACAAATCGCCCATACTGTGGATGTTTTGCGCTTTGAAAAGAATAATGAAAAAGGGCTTGCGAACTCTCTGTATTTTCCCGTATATTGCATGAAAAAGATGATGTTAATGATTAAATACCACCATTCAAGGAACCTCCATAGGGAATTTATGATTGTCGCAGCACAAAAATACAAAGGCACATTAGTTTGGGTATATCACCAATGTGGTAATATTTCTTTTTTTTTTCGGGAATATCATAAATCACAAGCAGTGACCATGAGAATGCGTGCTTTAAATAATGTGAAGCTTTATGAAACCTCTGCAATATTATTTGCATTACCAGGACAGAATGGGAAACCATTAATGTTGTATGTATAAATTGCATCTTCCATGTTCTTTTCTGAATTAAATGGTAAAATAGGAGAGGTTGGTGCTATGACGTTGGCTCCGGGTACTTCTTTTCTCTTAGTAGAAACGACAAGCCCAAGATGAACCATAAGGGCTCAAATGCAAGATAGTATAACATACGATTTGAGAGTACACAATACCCAAACGTCACAGGTCAGTTCACATATAGCTAATAGGTTCGTATGTATACGAGTTCCACATACAAGGTGAGTTCACATCACATGACAGTTCAGATACGCCTAATTAGTTGATATGAACACAGGTTCCACGCTCAAGATGAGTTCACATCACATAACAGTTCAGATATGCCTAATAGGTTTATATGTACACAGGTTCCACATACAAGGTCAGTTCACATCAGCTGGCAGTTCAGATTAACCTGATAGGTTCATATGTACACAAATTCCACACACAAGGTCAGTTCACACTGAGAAAAATAATTCGACACATGAAACACGCTATCTAACTATTACACATCCGCTATTGAATGAAAGCGACATCGCATACGGTAGGTCCATATTTTCAGGAAACGGTATGTCAATACTTTCATGAAATATTTGACTCTTCAAGAAACTTCATGAAGGCGACAAGCGCTCTTTTCTGAAGCCCTGCAAGTGGCCATGGACCTAGTATTTTCGTCAGTGTGAACGGCCTCCAGTCTAGGAGTTGCAAACTTCGTCGTAATGTTTTTTTTTTTGTGTCTAATATTTCGGACACTACGGAAGAAGGTGGTGTCCATCTTCGTCAGGGTTGCAGGAACACTCTGTACTAGTCGCAAGCTTTATCCCGTGTTGTAAATGTCGCGTAAATGCTGTATTGAACCGTAGGCGGTGGACCAATGTTTCAAATCTCGATTTTTTTAACTCTGATAGATTGCATAGTTTTATGCAAGGGTCTAAAAATTTAAGTCTGAACTTTCGGACTTTTCTTCGAACCCTTTGCCTTTGGTAACGCTTTGGACTATCTGTCTCAGGAGTAGACAAATTTGAGTGCGTGAAATTCGCAGACTAATTCTCTCTTCGTTCTTGCGGGCTCTATTGACCACGGCGTCCGCAGCAGTGTTTCCTGGAATCCTGCAGTGACCTGGTATCCATTGAAATGTGATCACGTGGTTCATTCCTCCTTCTTTCGCGTGTTTTTTTAAAGGTCTCATATATCAAGGGAGCGTTTGGAAAGAGTTTGTTATCACTTTGCAGTGACGCTAGAGTGGCATGGGAATCGCTAAAAATGACCCATTTTCGTACCTTTTTTTCGGACGCTACAAAGCGCAATGCAGATAGAATTGCAAACAGTTCGGTAGCAATAGACAACGTCACATGACATAATATATATGTCTGCTCTGTTACCAAGTATGGAAGGACAAAAGCAGAACAGGAGGAATTCGTATGACAAGAACCATCTGTATACACGAGAATACACGGCGGATATACGGAATAAATCATCATTAGTGCGAGTTGTTGCCCTACTGTCACGAACGTGTTCTTTTAGATATTATTCCCTCAACCAACAACTGTATTTTGAATGCGAAGCATTTCTTATCGAACTTCGGCGATTTCAACCGTATCTATCTATCTATCTATCTATCTATCTATCTATCTATCTATCTATCTATCTATCTATCTATCTATCTATCTATCTATCTATCTATCTATCTATCTATCTATCTATCTATCTATCTATCTATCTATCTATCTATCTATCTATCTATCTATCTATCCGCTTACGACGTTTAGCTCTCTAGGCCTCACGTGGAAATCATGACATGCGTGTCATGTAAAAACATGACTACATACCACGCTCATGATGCGCTCGCGGTTGTTTCGCTAGCTTCACTACACCAAATTCGGTATTACGTGACGTGAATGGACGGCGAAAGTAAATGACCCGTCCAAACATAATAATCATGATATGCGTGTCACGTAAAACATGAATACATGCAAAACTTATAGCTCGCTTGCGGCCGTTGCGCTAGCTTCACATATACTGAATTTGACATTACGCGAGGTGAATTGATGGCAAACAAAAATACCATGTGCAAGCATAAAAATTATTACATGAAAGTCATGTACGGCCTGGTTTACGTACACCTCATAACGGTGTGCTGATTCTAAAGTGACATATCAACCTTTCTCATTTGTGCTTCGCATACACTCGCCGCAGTGGTCTAGTGGCTAAGCTATTCGGCTGCTGAGCCGCAAGTCGCGGGATGAAATCCCGGCTGCGGCAGCGGCATTTCCGATGAAGGCGAAACTACTGTAGGCCCATCTGCTCGGATTTGGGAGCACGTTAAAGAACCCCAGGTGGTCGAACTTTTCGGAGCCCTTCACTGCGGCGTTTCTGGTTATCATATGGGTCCACCGCGGTGGTCTAATGGCTACAAGGCACTCGGCTGCTGATCCGCAGGTCGCGGGTTCAAATCCCGGCTATGGCAGCTGCATTTCCGATGGAGACGGAAATGTTGTAGGCCCGTGTGCTCAGATTTGGGTGTACGGTAAAGAACCCCAGGTGGTCGAAATTACTGGAGCCCTCCACTACGGCATCTCTCATAATAACATGGTGGTTTGGGGACGTTAAACCCCACAAATCAATGGTGATCATATGGTCGTTTTGGGACGTTATACCCCACATATCAGTCAAACGTGCTTCGCATATCATCGATTTCCAGTGTACGTAGGATCTGCGATTTGTTTTTGGCCTTGGTAGCGACCAAGGAGGGAAAATTATATCTACTCTGCTTATGTAATATCTCGGTAAAAATGTTTTATGTTCCTGAACAATATCGTGTAGCTTACATGTATTTCTTCCTGTAAGTTCGAGGTTCAGTGTATGCGTCTCGTGCTGAGTTGACATACGGAAAAAGTGGCGACAAGTTTAACTGCTCATATTACGGAGAATGGCGGATGACGAGCTTCCGCGATTACAAGAGATGTCGATGTTGCCTGTTATCGCACAACCATTAGATTCTCATAGTTTGTACCTCACTATCGCAGGGCCGGAAGAATCCTCTGACAGCAACTTCAGCCGATGAATTTCAGAGTGTCGACACGAGAGGTGCCCTCTGCACGCCCTCAACGTGCACTGAACAGGACATGACTTTCATGATCAGATCGAGTAAGTTGTATTCCCGGAACTTCAACGTTGCTTGCACGACTGTTTTGCTGCGCGAGATGTCAACTGACTGTGTGTCCAGCGGAAACAAGTTTTTTTTCCTAGAGACACCAGCACAACCAATAGCCAATTTTGTTTTAATTAAGGTGAGACAGGTGAGACCAAATAGACTGTTTTGTTTTAGTTAAGGTGAGGCGTATACAAAAATTATTATGTGGGTCAAGCTTTCTTGGAATACAGCGTTGCAATGAACCTCTGCGTGACTGCGCCAGCATATTTCAGACAAATGATTTCATATCATAAACAGAAATAAGAATGCTTTATGAACTGATGCTCATCAAATCATCTTCGCCAGCACCGCTCGGTGTCTTCAGTTCCGAGTCGTACAGAAGACTGTGGACGTTTTTTTTTAATTTTAAACACGCACACAGCATTTCTGATTTAATGAAGTCATTTGGTTACTTGAGTCAGCCATAAAATCATGTTTCATTGCTGTTTGTGATGAGCACAAGAAAATTCTCAAATAGATAAAGGAACATGCACCTCCAGCATACAGCTGCAGAATGTAAAACGTGGATCTTCAGCGGATACTCAGCCTTTTATGTGATGTTGAGCCCACCCTGCTTCAAGAACCCCGTTTACTGGTGCTCCACTCGTCAAGAGAGCATGTTCGTTAGGCCATATAGCGCTGTCAGCTACGGCTCGCCAAGCAGTCGGGGGCTCTCCTCTTCGCAAACTTTCCAAAGCGTCTTCGTAACCACCACAAAGAGAGCGTGCATTGTTAAAAAACCTTTGATACTTTTGTAGTTATGCTGCTCGATGACCTCTCCACAAAACTAGTGCCGTGTTACTTCGCTTATTACCAGATTTTAATCAAAGTGACAAACATTTGTCATGCATATTTCTACAAAAATTCTTGCAGCTCATCTGCTCACCCACCCACAAAACTTATTTATATGACACGAGGCTCAAACCATACGTTAACACCAGGAATCCTTTATTTTACTAAGTCAAAATCTCGGCTAATACGTAAGTGTGAAGCGGGCCAATGTGGCTTATACACATTGATGGCTAAAGGCTGACGGAAGAATATCAAGTGGTTCAGACCACCGACTATTACGAGACAAAAGTTTGGGAATACATGCATTTGGTTTTTTGAAATATAAAGTGTTCCCTTTAACAATAATGATATTTTTTATAAAAATTGTATGACAGCAAAGCTTTTGCCATGTTTTTGCCCAAACTCTCTTAGCCACGGAGAAAAATTGCTCGCAATTATAAATTTAAACGCAACCTGCCAGAATGAAAAGACTGCTGGACATTCAGCTGTGTATACGCCACTCGGCAGGAGTTAAATATGTGCAACAATATCTAAAGTCGAGTGTACCAAAAAAAAACTTCAAGAAATTTTAAGCACCTCTCAAATAGTTGCCGATACCCATGGTTGATGGCTTGATGACTTGCACTACTATTGTTTGTTCACCCGATCGGATAGATACATGGTCCACTTTTTATCTCGTCAAATGGTTACACATGCAAGCGCATGCAAGTTTTTTTTTTCAGTTTGTGTCTAGACGTTATGCCTGGCTCGTCTTTGATAGTTTCTAATAGTCGTGTCAATTCGGTTTATCATTATAGGTATATCGCTGCTAAAGATAACTTCAACACAGCACTATAGAAACACTTGGAAATTATGAATTTTCAGCCCATCCAATCAAATGATTTTTAACATCAATGGGGTTCAAGGCAGCCGTAATCTGTGTGGCAATTAGGTGAATCCCACTACTCACAACTAGTCCTCTAAATTGTCGATTGGGCAAGCAACGACTACTCCATCACACCCACTGTCACCCACTTAATCTCTAAACCGAGTTGTAGAGTCGCAAAGGAAGACCACCGAGGCACAGTCAGTTTCGCACTCTCGAGTATTCATCAACCAAGGTGCGAGCGAATGCCAATGTCCATAGTATACAGTGACACTGCGACCGATCAAGGCAACAATGCCAGTCACAGCGTGCCAAGACACAGTGTTTCCGCGTCCGGCCTCGGCCGAACAGCCAGCGCCGCCCACCCGAATCATCTTTGAAAAACTTTCAGATGAATATTAACGATTGTTATAGCGCAAGAACAGAACAACGTCAAAGGGACAAAAAGAGACGAATACTAACATGGAAGTTAGCGT